TGAAAAAACCAGGCTCCCTCTCTCTTCTGGACCAATGTTTGGCTGAAGTGAGGGTTTGGCTTGCCAACATTTTCCTTAAGCTAAATGATTCTAAGTCTGAGGCACTCCTGATAACCCCTAACAAAACCACACACGTATCTTCTGATTTGGCCACTCTCCCTTATGACCTCAAGCAGTGTGTTACCAACCCGGGGGTGAAACTGGATACACACTTTTCAATGGGCCCTCAGATTAACTCAGTGGTCAGATCGTGTTTTTATCAGTTGCACAGACTAGTTCGCTTAAAACCGATCCTGAAACGAGCACACCTGGAATCTGTAATTCATGCTTTTATCACCTCCCGACTGGATTATGCAAATTCCATTTTAATTGGCTTACCTGCCTCCGCTCTTAACAGGCTTCAGGTCGTACAGAACGCGGCAGCCAGGTTTTTAACAAACACCCCTAGAAGAGACCATATCACACCTGTACTGGCGCAGATCCACTGGCTACCCGTAAACTTCAGAGTCAAGTTTAAAATCCTGACTTTTGTTTTTAAGGCCCTGAACGGTCTGGCTCCGGATTACCTGTCGGATCTTGTCACTAGTTATGTGCCAAACCGGGCATTAAGGTCTGCTGATTGCCTGCTGCTTCGCGTTCCATCAATGAAATACAAAACGCGGGGGCAGCATGATTTTGTCCATGCTGCTCCGACACTCTGGAACGCTCTTCCTCTTTCAGTGAGGCTGGCACCATCCCTCCTCTGGTTCAAGTTTCTGCTTAAGGCTCACTTTTACGACCAGGCATTTTTAAATCCCTGACTTTTATTATTTTATTATGTGTCTTTTTATTGACTGTGATTATCTGCCTTGTTGTGCATTTTATTGTTGACTGTGTATTGTTTTATATTGTGTTTTTACTTTTTATTCTGTACAGCACTTTGGTTGGCTGCGATGCCATTTTTAAATGTGCATTATAAATAAAGTTGGTATGGTATGGTATGGTATAAATTTAGTTCTTCTCTTTTTAAAGTAATACTTTGATCACCATCTGGACCAGCTTTGGTAAATTGTGATCATTGTTGGAAAGGCAGACGTTATGTGAAAGAGCCACAGTGCCATCAAGTGATTAAGGAGTGAAATACATGTGGGTGTGACAAAAAGAAAGTTTCTAAAACCAGAAGTTCAGACCTCATGGGGCAGAAAAAAGAAGAAAGTTGCCTTAAGCAAACCTCTGCTGGGCTTTTCCATCTGGGCCCAGCAACAGATAACCCGGCACTTTACAGTTGTCAAGTAATTAGCTCTCAAAAGTTATGGTGAAACTTAGAAGCAACTCCGTTTGCTTTGTTTTGACTTCCTACGTGAAACCGGAAGTCTGCATGTTCGGTTGAGTCCTCACATTAAGAGTTAAAACTAATTTGGAGCAATTTTGCTGATTCAGCATCGGTTTTGATAATTTAGACTCGCGCTCTGAATTCCACATTTTCGGTGCAGCTGAAGTGAAGAAACCTTAAAGTCCAGCCACTCCCGGGAAACGAGATTCTCCTGAACTCAACAGACTTTGTTGACAAACGCGGGGCCAAAATCTTACAGTCCCAGAAGCCTCGTCATGAGCAAGGACTCCAAGGCTACCTCAGCCCTTTGGCCACCCTCTGGCGACAAGGAGAAAGGTCTGTGAATCATTTTCATCTGGCTGACTTTTTCTGCTAAGTCCGATTAGTGAATTCAGACAAACTTTTATGGTGTGTGTTATCTCGATCCAAATTCCCATTTAGCTCTCAAGATTTGCCTTCTTTTTCTGCCGCAACGAATCCTCATTCGCAGCCACACACAGACACCAGCTCTCATTTGCCTCTACTCACACATGAACACACCCCACACACATGAACACACCCCCTCCTGCACCCGTACTAACACACACACACGCACACACACACGCACGCACGCACGCACACACACACACACACACACACACACACACACACACACACACACACACACACACACACACACACACACACTCACCCATTTCACCTGAACCCACATGAACATTTCACTTTGCCCTCCTTTAGAAATTATTCCCCATTTTTCTATAATCCTGGTGTCACCAAATTTCCCCTTTTATTACGGATCAGTTATTTTCTATCACTATAAAATATTGGGTACATCACTATAAAGCTTTGGGTTAACAATTTTCTCAATTACATGCATGAAACTATAAGCTGTGTTTGGTCCTTTTGTCAATGTATTAACTGATGTTGTAATAAACTCACAAAACGTAAATAGCGCCTGATCATTGTCTAGCAATTCTCGGGAATAATCTGCACATTATGTGAAGACTTCATCCTTTGGATCAATTTGTGGTGCTAATTCTGAGACTGACTACATTGTGAAGATATAGATATTAAATCCAGCGGTCCAGTTCCGGCAACCAGTCTCGCCTCGAGTAATTAAGATGAGATTGTAAACAAATTAACTCCACGCCACATTTGAAATATAGTTAAAAATCTATTTTTATTGCTACAGTTATGCTGACGATACTTAGTTATATCTATCCATTAACCCTGATGAACCTAATCAGTTAGTTAGATTACAGGCATGTCTTGAAGACATAAAAATTGGATGACTCAAAACTTTCTGCTTTTAATCAAAACAAGACTGAAGTTCTCATATTTGGACCAAAAAGTCAGAAAAGGAAACTGCTTAGTCAATCACCTGACCTGAGTGGCATTAAATTAATCTCCAAGAACAAAGTAAGGAACCTTGGTGTTATCTTTGACCAGGACATGTCATTCAAATCCCACGTTAAACAGGTTTGTAGGATTTCATTTTCCTTCCTTTCTGTGAAATTCAGAATAGGTTTTAAGATCCTCCTTCTCACATATGAAGCTCTTAATAATCAAGCTCCATCATACATCAGTGACCTGATTGTTCCATACGTTCCTAACCGAGCACTTCGGTCTCAGACTGCAGGGTTACTGATGGTTCCCAGAATATCTAAAAATAGGATGGGAGGCAGATCTTTTAGCTATCAGGTTCCTCTCTTGTGGAACCAGCTCCCAGCTTTAGTCCATGAGGCAGACACCTTGTCTACTTTTAAGATTAGGCTTAAAACATCTTTATTTGATAGGGCCTATGGTTAAAATCTGATGTTAGCCCAGATCTGGACAAGTGGGGGAGTAGAGGGAGGTGGAGTGTACAGTCGGTAAAGACGGCTCTCCCTTGCCCTGCCTCCAACATGCCTCCATCTAAAAGGCTGGGTTATCCAGAGTTATCTCTGTAGTTATGCTGCTATAGGCTTATACTGCAGGAGGACACACTGACCACTTTCCACACTCGACTACTTTCTTCTACAATCTGCTCTTTAACTGCGTTATTTCCTGCTATTTCAGCTGTTAACTTTATTTTATCTATAAGTGTTTTTCTCCCCAGAAGAAGCTACAATGATGTTCTGCTGAGCTGTGGTGGCCTCATGGATGGGGCCATCGGCTAGCACACTGCTGCTAACCACGTAAACATTCTCCCTCTCCCGATAACATTTCACTCTCTTTGATATTGAATGTGCTACTACTAGTTTACCTGTTTAATTGTGGATTCACTTAGCCTGGCAAGCCAGACTAAATGAATGTATTATTTAGTCTGGCCACGCTCCATTGACGGCTCTCGGTTGTGGGGCGGGTTCTACCGTTGTCTTTCAAATGATCTCCGCATTCCACTGGACAAAGAATGTGACATACTCTTGTTTCACTCTGTTGCATCATCCCACCCACCAGGCATATAGAGTGCCCTGATTGGCCCACAAAGTGGATAAAGCTCTGTGATTTGTTCACTAAGCAGATAGAGCACTATGACTGGCCCACCATTATGGACCAATCACAGCTCTTTATGTGTTTGAAACCCCTCTAGAGAGCTGTGATTGGCTAGCCAGAGTCCTGGTAGGAGCTGCTGAGGTTCCAATGGAGCATGCCTAGACCATTCTTTGCAAAGCAAGAATTTGGTCTAGTTCACTAGGCTAGCATTCACCAGGATAAATACAATAAAGTTTATCTCTCACCAAATATAATATTTACTAAGAAATCACAATGCAACCATAGAAACACTACTTGGTGTGTGCATGTGTGTGCGTGTGTGTGTGTGTGTATGTGTGTGCGTGCGTGCGTGCGTGTGTGTGTGTGCGTGCGTGCGTGCGTGCGTGTGTGTGTGTGTGTCTGCTCTGTCTTCTCGATCCCCAGTGAGTCGTGATGGATGGCTGATTATACTGAGCCAGGATCCTCTGGAGGTTTCTTCCTGTTAAAAGGGAGTTTTCCTCTCCACTGTCGCTGCATGCTTGCTTAGTATGAGGATCGCTGTAAAGACTGACACTAGTCAGTGACTCAAATGCAATTTGCTGGGTTCCTTATAAAGGAAACTTTTTTCTGATTGGCTTAATGACCTGACCTGTATTGGAATGTTTACTATGTGAAGAGCCTTGAGACGACACTTGTGATGTGGCGCTTTATAAAAAAACATAAATTGAATAGAAAATTGAGCGTCAGAGCTTTTTCTGCCCCAGAGAACAATTGCAAGGCATTCATTCCTACCAGAGACCACTGCAAATGTATTTAAACTACGGTAAACTTGGTCTTTAAGGGCTGAACATATCACAAACTCTTTTCAGCAACAAAGTTTTGAATTGTTAGATCCTTAAATTGAACATTTCATGACCATATGTTTTTCGCCACTCTCCATTGCAGGTCACAGTGAACTAACAGTCTCACTACTATACATTCTCTAATGGAGCACCAGTTCTTCTCACACACAGACAGCAGATGGATCTGCGCCCTTGAACGCTTGAAAAGCTTAGCATTTTACAGGCTTGAGCTATCTAAATGCAGGTTTCCCTTCGCTGGTGTTTCAGCGCATGAGCGCGTGGGATGTGAGGATGATTCGCCGGCCGGGTGCCCACGCGCGTTTCGGCTGCTCTCGTTCTGGCCGGCTCACTCAGCGGGGAAGAAATCCCGCCAACCTGCGGTATGTCCAAGCCCCCACAATGCCGCTCAGAAAATGGTCCCAACCCGGAAGTAAGAAAAATTGCAGTTCCACCCTCATCCGCTGGGGGCTGGTACCAGAAGCGAGCAAATCCTCATTGACTCCCATGTTAAAAATGCCATTTTCACAGCAGAAATAAACATGTTTACAGCCTGGTTCAAAAAATGTTTTTTTGTCTAAATTATCTAGTTTATACTCATGACAACTCTGAGGGGGGTGAATTTTTTTCTCACTCTTCTGTTTAAGTGTATTGAAAGCCTAAAATTCTGTATAATTAATGAGCATCCGACACACGTGACCGCCGCCTCAGACCCACGTGACCACAGAGCTAGCTCCGTGGAAAGGCCTCAGTACAGCCTCGGTCTCTCCTGGAAACTGTGTCGGGATTTTGAGTCTCTGTGCTTGTGAATTCTGTTTTGGATAATATTGGTGCAATTGTTGGACAAAATGACTTGCTGTGGTATTAATTGCACTAATAGAGCGTCCAAGGAGTCTCCACTTCATTTTTTTTGGTAAGTTAAAATCTATATTTGTATTTTATGTCACTGCTGCCTTTAAACTAGCTGAGTTTACCGAAGTAGCTAGCTAACTATCAGTTTAACATGTAGCATGTACTGTTTAACCATGAAATTTAAATGTAAAATACGGTAAAATAATTAATAGGGCATATTTAAATGGGTAATAGGGTAAAACCCAGTGCATTTAAGATAAAAATGGGTTGAAATATGACGGGGCGCGCCGCTTGGGGGGACACTTCTGTGCTCTATTCTTTCATCCGGTAATCCCCAGCGGTCAGGCCGGGCAGGCTGATCGATGCGGCTCCTCGCTGCTGCGGGCTGACCGCTCGTGGAACTCGGAGACAGATCTGACCGGAGAAATACTGCAGCTCGTTGAGAAGTCTATAGGGCATACAGCGTTTCCCTTAAATCCCACTGCCACGCCGACAAGATCCCAAGTTTCTTTGTTTTTGTTGGCGCTGTTTACCGAAGAAGCAGCGGGAATACCAGCAACTTTCATCAGACTCGTAAAGTTAGTTTTTGCAGGGGACCCCCTGTATTTTACTGCTCCCTCCTGCAGTCTTCCCCTATTAAAATTTAAAATGTGTAACTTCATGTATTGGGATGAATGACTAATATTCATGTTAACTAAAACGTTAGGTATTTAGGGGGAAAAAACAAAATAATAAACATTATACAGATGTCAAATAAATCAAACTGTAATTAAACTATATATTTTCAAAGTCTCGATTCTGGATAAAATCCAACAACATATGCTTTATAAATAAACACTACACATGGCTTTTACACACACACACACACACACACACACACGTTACATTGTGATTTCTTAGTAAATATTCTATTTGGCGAGAGATAAACTTTATTGTATTTATCCTAGTGAATCTATAATTAAACGGGTAAACTAGCAGTAGTACATCCAACATCAAAGAAAGTAAAATGTTATTATCAGGAGAGGGAGAATGATTAAGTGGTTAGCAGCAGTGTGCTAGCCGATGGCCCCCTCCATGAGGCCACCACAGCTCAGCAGAACATCGTTGTAGCTTCTTCTGGGGAGAAAAACACTTACAGAAAAAATAAAGTTAACAGCTGAAATAGCAGGAAATAATACAGTTAAAGAGCAGATTGTAGAAGAAAGAAACCCCTAGGTTAAACTGGTCTGTCTACTGCATAATGCTGAACTCTAACATGTGTCCTCAGGGAAGGACCTGATTGGTGTCCAGAACCTGCTGAAGAAGCACGAGGCTCTGCAGGCTGAGATCACAGGTCATGAACCTCGCATCAAGGCTGTCACCCAGAAAGGAGAGACCATAGTGGAGGAAGGTAGAGCAGGTCTGGTCCTGACATGTTTCTGAGGTGTCTGCAGGTTCTGGCTCACTTTGTTTGGGTCCAGGTCACTTCGCTGGTTCAGAACCCTCGGCCCGTCAGAACATTCTTATCCACCACGTTCTAACACCAGACCTGTTAACCCGACAGCAACAAGTGGCTCCAACTGACGATGAGACCGGGAAGGAGCTGGTTCTGGCTCTGTACGACTACCAGGAGAAGAGTCCTGGAGAGGTCACCATGAAGAAGGGCGACATCCTCACGCTGCTCAACAGCACCAACAAGGTTCGTGTGCCCTTCACAGCCGAGGAACGACCTCCAGCTCAGAGCGAACATCTCCACACCTGCTTTGTGTTTGTGTGACTTTAGGTTGTTTTACTTGAACTCGCGTCTTTAGCTGAATGAGGATGGAGAGACGGGTCAGACCTGGAGCAGGTCGAGGTCTTGCAGAAGAAGTTTGACGACTTCCAGAAGGTCGGACTTTTCCTCCTCTCCGTCTTCCAGCAGCAGCTGTCAGATCAGCTCAGGTGATAATCAGCAGGTGCTTTTGTCCTGCAGGACCTGAAGGCCAACGAGTCCCGCCTGAGGGACATCAACAAGGTGGCATCTGAACTGGAGTCAGAAGGTCTGATGGCTGAGGAGGCTCCTATGGTTCAGGCTCAGGTGAGCGTCACCTGTCTGCAGCAGCTGGTCCCTCTCACTTCCTGGTTTGTTAACTCTGCTCGTCTCTGTTTGTAGCAACAAGAACATCTGGGTTCTGCTCCTGGAAAGGTGCGTGTTGTCCTCCGCCTCCACCAGAACCAGACGTGGTGTTTTTGTTACCACTCATTTGTTTGTTTACAGGATGAAGCCGACTCTAACCCCGGCTTTCCACAGGAGTCGTCAGCAGCACGTTACTGCAGCAGCACGTCATAGCTGCTGATAGGAACCGCTGTGGTCAACAGAACCTTTTCCACCGGAGCCGTCAGCAGCGCGAGTCGGCCACGTCTCAGGAGCAGCATGTCGCGGCCCTTACGCGCCGGTTCTATTTTCTACGCGCGACGCCTCTGAAACGAGTCAAGTTCGACATTTTTGGGGAAGGAAAGACAGGAAATCGGACGCGGAAATTGAGAGAAGCTACCGAGATTTTCAGAATAAAGAACGTACTGCCTTCCGGTTGCTTTACTTTTAAAAAAGGTTACTAACTGAGCGGCCCCGTGAGAAGTTATCACCTAGCTAGCGGTCTCCTTTGTTTTTCAGGTCCGTATTGGCGATTATAAAACGGACAGAACATAAAACACAAACCATGTTGTAGTTTTCTCCTGCTTGTTGTTGTGTTTACTGACGAAGTCACTCGTGTGACTTCATGCTCGGTCGGTGACAGCTGCTCCCCTGCTGCTTCGCGTCTCGTGGGAAGGGCCGAGCAGCAGCTTACGCGAGCAAGACGTGCTGCTGCAGTAACGTGCTGCTGACGGCTCCCGTGGAAACCCGGGGTAACACGGCGTCACCCTAGAAGGTGAGTTCATTAAGCTGATCAGAGGTCACCTTTGATGGCCGCAGTCACGGCCGACCGTGCTGAAATCACACAGGAATTCAGGTGACCCGGCAGGCACCAGGTGCTGGTGAAAGTGGGGACATGTCAGCTGGTTGCCATGGCTACAGTTATCTTTATGCATCTGTATGACTGCTGACTGGTGTGTGTTTCCTGTGACCTTTGACCTCAGACCGTACGGTTGGGCGTTCAGACGACGGCTAACTTTAATTCCATCAAGGTAAGAGGAAGCTCTTCCCTTCCTGTCTGAGCAATCCGTCTCCAGGTTTCCTCGTCCGGCGTCCAGCCCGCTGGCGTCCACCTTCATCTCACTGGGTTTGGTTTCTCTCCAGGAGCTGAACAACCGCTGGCGCTCGCTGCAACAGCTGGCTGAAGACCGGAGCAACATGCTGGGCAGCGCCCATGAGGTGTAGCGCTTCCACAGGTACCCCGCACACTTATGCGCCGCTTACGGGTCAGTAGAGTTTGGACCCACACTCAGACGGAGTTCTGATGTCTTCTCAGAGACGCTGATGAGACCAAAGAGTGGATCGAGGAGAAGAACCAGGCCCTGAACACAGACAACTACGGCCACCACCTGGCCAGCGTTCAGGCTCTGCAGCGTGAACATGAAGGCTTTGAGCGTGACCTGGCAGCTCTGGGTGATAAGGTCCGCTTCCTGATCGGTACCAGGACCCGAGTTGTCTCTGGAGACACGTTCTTCATGGTTCTGGTGACTCCACCCCAGCCGTTCCTGATCAGTGATCAGCGGGGTGCTTTCCTATTTAAGGTGGATGGAGGACACAATTTGACGCCAGAAGATTGCCTCAGTTTTGGTAGTAACCAGCCACTCGTGTTACCTCTAGTGTTCCTAGGATTAATGTTATTTCGTAGTGTTTTTGCTCTTATATTGGATTTACCATTCTTCAGGATTCCTGTCGACCTCATTGGATACTGACCTCTACTCCAGGATTTGGATATTCAACACACGGACCTTATCACCACCCTCCATAACCCACCTCTCATCTCACCCAGTGCCCCATCCACCAGGACGCCCCGCTTCTCTCCACCTCTGCTCTCTCTCCTGCGCTTCCCCCCGGCTCTCTACCTCTCCCTCCTCCAGCCAACACATACACCCCCCACAGTAAGTCTGCTGAACACCTCTGCCTGCCTACAATGGATTTTGAAACCAGAACCTAAGCTCACCTGTGTTCTCCCTCCTCCAGATGCTGAGCTGTTGTTGCAGTTCCAACCACAGACTTATCTGTGCACCTTAAGTTCCACCTTATAAATAAATCATTTTTTCCATCAGTTTTTGGTCAGTGTTGTATTCTGCATGTCTTGGGTTAAGTACCTTCCTCCAAACATGACACTCCTCTTCAAAGAGCAAATCTGTTCAGCACATTCTGACAGACAGACCACCATTCTTCTGTCATGATGCTGTACAGGACATTTTTAGAGTTTTTCTTTTTAAAGATAAATAGGATTACATTTAAATAGCAATACTTTCACATTATCATTTTCCCACACTTCTGTATAACTGTATTTTGTTGTTTTTCAATAAAGAATGACAAATTATTTAAGTTTGGATTTGTTGCACACAAATATATATCTGTAAAAAATATCTACAAAGCTAATGTTTACATAACAAGTATGATTGGGTTTTGCAATACGGCACTATTTTAGTAAGATTTTTAAACCAAGAAAAGTTAGTAAAGAACACATTTCTATTGTCTGCTAAGAAACTGTTGGGATTTAAAATGGGCCTGTTGTACAAATAACTTGTAAATGATTATTCCTCACTTTTGTCTTAACCAAAGAAATTCCAGTAATTGAGCAAAAACATTTATTTTTAACACTACATTTTATAAAACAGGGCGCAAAGTGTCGGCACATGTATGTATGTCGATGGTCCACCCCAACCGAACCAGGAGACACAGACGTCAGGGAGGCCAAGGTTGTCTCTGCAGCTCTCTGGGCACCACGCCTCACTCAGCTGTCTCCAATGATTCAAATGTCTGGAGAAAAAATAACAGGTTTGTCATAATTGTTTAAAGTACAAAACCATACATGAAGTGGTGAGACAGGTATGTGGAACTTACACTTGCTGCTTTGTGTAGCTGATGTTGGAGACACACAGGCTGCCATGGTGACATTTAAACAGATCTAAGAAAAAAATGAAAATTAAAAACTCCAAGACCTCATGTCATATTTACTAATCAGCTATGGCTGATTTATTGTTTGGATCAAGTGAGTTACACTAATTCTAATATATTTTTATTTCTATTATACATACTTTTTAACTTATTTTCACATGACTGTTATCAGGCTCTCTTGTTCTGGTTCTGATGATAATTCCGTGTCTTCCAGTAAGTTATCTTGTGCTTACTTCATCTGTAGAATGTCTCTTTACTTTTGGTAAATTGTACTGAGTCCAGAATAAAGACTAGTTGGCTGTACAAGATACAAACAAGTATAACATTTTGGAAATATATGAAATGTATTTACGCTGCTAATTTAGCTCGAATACTAATAACTGCAATATTTTCCGGACTATAACTCGCACTTTTTTACATTTTCTGGCAGGTCCTGCTACTTATACTCCGGAGCGACTTATATAACAAAATATGTAGGCTACACCGCGCTGCTGCGGGCCGACTCCGACCCACACAAGAATGAGTTCCCCTGTCCCGCTGGGAGGGTTTCAAACACCGCCAGCATCTGTTAGAGCCTGTGGCGGGGTGCTGAGGGCCGGCTCCAGCCCAGGAATGAGCTCTCCTCGCCGGCCGGGAGGGTTTGAAACACCGCCATCCTCTCCTCTGCTGGCTGTTGTTCATTCTGTTATGGTTACCGGTGCTTGTGTTGCAATGTGAAACGCTTGGTCTCAGATTTTGTAAGAAAGATAATAAAATGCCCCCCCAAAATACGACTTAAATATATTTTCTCTTATTCATGATACATTTAATGGCTGGTGCGACTCAGGAGTGATAGCGCCGAAAAAAACTGTACTGAAAACTTGCTCAAAGCAAAATGTTTTCATTACGGAAATAAATTATAAACTTACCGATTTAAAACTTTTTTAATACAGGTACTTCTCACGAACAGGCGCAGAAAACCTCCACCTAAACTCCGTGTAAGGTTCAGAACGATGGGTGTTCCAGTTAGCTCCGGTTGGGTTGAAGCTAGGTGGCTACATCCGTTAGCTCGGCTCCCACCTCCGCTTTAGCTTTGGGTTAGCCAGGGTTAGCTTCAGGTTAGCTCGTAGCTAGTTCGCCTGGGTGTCGTCACTCGAGCCCAGCCTTACAGCCACACCCTCAGCGCCTCCTCTCTTCCCTTTTATGGAATTGTCTGGGCTGGACGGAACCTGTGACACGGTCAAAATGGCGGTGGTGGCCACCTCCCATTATAGACAACAAACGTGTTATTGAAGCCAATGGAATCCGTTTGTCCAGTATGTACAGTCTATGGGTATGTCGCAAGATCTGATGGAAACGGACTTTCTCTACAATCGGATACTCAAGCTTGGTTTATGCTTGACGCATTCACTTTCCACGCGGTGATGCGGCTCGCGGCTGGAACGCGCTTCACAACTCGCAGCGTTTATGGTTTGTGCGGCTCGTCTCTGCGGTGAGCCAATATTCTCCCAAACTGTAGGGGGCAGCATGGAGCTCTACAGCATGCATCCAACACTACACCACAGTAGAAGTAGAAATCACTGTTTACAACATGGTATTTCAGCATTTTTAACAGCGTCCTCGTCTTTTCCGACGGTGCGAGCTATTCTCTCCAAGAATTATTAACAACATGTTGATCACGGTGATCTGAGAGCTGAATCATACAAATGTCTGTATTTACGAACCTCTGCCGTGCCGGTCCGCCATGTTTTTCCGCGTCCGACCGTCCGCGTGGTTAGAAATTTTCCGAGGTGCGCGTTGCGGAAATCTTGGGCCGTGCGGAGACGCGGTGGAGGGGCGTGGTTGTTAAAATGATGCAAAATGACGCTACTTTTCCGCACGGAGCCGTGCGGACCTCGCGGACGCGTCAAGCATAAACCAACCTTCAGTCGACTCGCTTTGCGCTGATCAACGCCAGATCGGTTGTAAATAAAACGTTTATGTTAAAGGAATTCTTCCAGGACAATAGCCTGGATGTTTTATGAGCCACTGAATCATGGATCACCCCTGGGGATTCAGCCTCAGTCGAACTGTTACCTCCTGGATGCTCCTTCATTAACATTCCAAGAGCACATCGCAGGGGCGGTGGCCTATTGACTATATTCAAATCAGATCTTATCTGCACACCGATTACCCCTCAATCAACTCCATTATCCTTTGAAGTGAGCTTATTTGAATTGGGTCGTTCTCCTACATTATTATGTGCTCTCATTTACCGCCCACCACCTTACAATAAGGATTTTCTAAATGAATTTGCAGCTTTTCTGGCTGAAGCCTCCTGTAGATATGGAAAATTACTCTTGCTTGGTGATTTTAATATTCATATCTGTTGTCTTGACAAACCTTTGGTAAGGGATTTCCTAGATCTCATTGACTCTTTTAGCTTCTCCCAACGTGTTAATGGCCCCACACATGGTCATACACACACACTTGACCTGGTTTTCTGTCATGAGCTGGAAATTTGTGATCTTGGCATTTTACCTGCAACTTTTTCTGATCACTCACCAGTTTTGTTTAACTTGAAATTGGACTATGCCCCTCGTATTGAATATTTCCGTCCCAGCTTCTCTTGTGTAATCACACCCAATACTGCTGCAGATTTTGCCGCTGTTCTTACTCTGAACGCAGCTGCATATGATTCTACTATTGCGTCTTCTGTAGTTGAGGGATCACTTCATGTGCTTGATTCATCCTGCCTGGCTGCTATGGATATTGTCGCTCCATTAAAATCAAGTCGAAAGAAATCCAAGTCAGATCCATGGCTGAACGAACAAACTCGTTCCATGAGACGAAATTGCAGGAGACTGGAACGTAAATGGATAAAAGACAGGCTTACTGTATCCTTTGAGGCCATGAGAGAGGCTTGGTCTCAGTATCAAAAAGTAGTCAGAGGAGCGAGAAATCGATTTTTTGCCAGCATTGTCACGGCTAATTCAAACAATCAAGGTGTGTTATATAAAACCATAAATGCAGTGCTTTCCCCAGTTCAAAATCTATTTTCCTCTGTGTCTGCTGACTTGTGCAGCCAAATCCTGCAGTTTTTCTTAAATAAGATTACTGTAATCAGAGCTCAGATTCACCAAACCAACCATGTTCCAGATTCATTTATCCCCTCTCACGGGCAACTTCAAAGCTTTCAGCCCATCTCTTTGGCCTGTCTAGAAAAAACTGTTGCAGCCATGAAACCCTCTGGCTCCCCAGATGATGTTATCCCACCTCGACTCCTGAAAGAGGTGTTTCCTTTAATTAGCAATAACGTGCTATGCATTATAAATTGTAGCTTGACATTGGCTGAAGTTCCTCGTGCCTTTAAACACGCTGTTCTACAACCAATCTTGAAAAAACCCGGCCTCGATCCCACCGATTACTCTAATCTACGACCAATTTCCAAATTACCGTTTTTATCTAAGGTCCTTGAGAAAGTAGTCTATGCACAGTTGGTGAACCATCTAAATGAATATCAGGTAATGGACACCTGTCAGTCTGGTTTTAGACAACAGCACAGCACTGAAACTGCTCACGTTCGGGTGTTTAATGACATTTTTCTGGCTTTAGATTCAGGTTTCCATGTGGTTCTGGTACTTTTGAATCTATCTGCAGCATTCGACACGATCGATCATGACATTTTGATCACAAGACTTCACACTTGGGCTGGCATTTCAGGCACTGCCCTGGATTGGTTTAGGTCATACTTTTGTAACAGGTCTGCTAGGGTCATGTTGGACGGCTGTTCATCAGAGTCACAGCCTCTACGTTGGGGTGTCCCACAAGGTTCAATTCTCGGCCCATTACTGTTCAACCTCTATATACTGCCCTTAGGAGCCATTTTCAGAAAGCACGCTGTCTCATACCATCTTTACGCTGACGACTGTCAAATCTACTTTTCATTTAAGCCAACTCAGTCAACGAAAGTTCTGTCTGATTGTATCCTTGAGGTCAAGCAATGGCTAGCTGACAACTTCCTCCATCTCAGTGACTCCAAAACTGACTTAATCGTTTTCAGTCCTAACAGTATCACGGCAACTCAACAACCTGACCTCAACTATCTCTCACCTAATGTATCCTCTGTAATCTCCAACCTTGGAGTAAAAATGGACCAGGCTCTGAAGATGGATGCCCAGGTCAATAACACAGTTAAATCATGTTTTTACCAACTAAGACGCATCTCAAAACTAAAGTACATCCTGAGTGTACGTCTTCTGAAATCGGTGGTCCACACTTTTATCACCTCAAGGCTGGATTACTCCAACTCCTGCTTATATGGCATCAGTAAAGCAGCTCTCTCTAGACTTCAGCTGGTCCAGAATTCAGCAGCTAGGTTGCTGACTGGAGCTGACAGAAGACAACACATTTCTCCAATTCTGAAATCTCTCCACTTGTTGCCCGTGCAGTTCAGGATAAACT